AAAAGATACATCAAGGGGTTGCCAGAAGGGGGATGTGCCCCCTTCTGTTTGGGGGGTTTGAAGGGGGGCGGAGTCCCCCTCATCGCCAAGAAAATTTTGGACTTGTGAGAGGCTGTAAATGACCCCAGATTGATCATAAGGTAACGTGTAACAAACGCTGAAAAGCATTTGACTCTATCTCAATCCATTGAGAAGATGCAGCACTTTGAAATCAATTTTGATGGAAAAAATCAACGCAAAATAGTGATTTTTGGCAATTTTGAGATGTCCCCTCGTTGCCATGGTAACAGAAAATTTAAGCCTGAGCATGTAGTTGCAAGGGCAATGGTCCAGTCAACATTTGTGCCAAGTTTGATTAGTGTTGAAGCAGTTTTTATAGTATTATAGCAATTTGAACTTGTAACGGGAGACTTTTCAATGAAAACAGCCATTTTTCACAAAATGCTCATGAAGTAATGGGTTAAGCCATGACTTTCTATGCCGCGAAATATTGCCGCGCAAAAGTTCGCTACTAAAATTTGCTATTACTCGTAACGATATTTTATGAGACCATTGTTAAGGAATACAAAATCGCGGCCTCAACTTGATCAGTCGACATGTTGTAGAGTTTATACAACATTTGCAAAAAAATGTCGCGGATTTCTTTCTTTTCGTCGACTTCTCATAGACAATCGAGGGATAAAATTAAATTGTAGAGTCACATCATGAAAGTTACCAGTCACTGGAGTCAAAATGTGCATTTCTCTATTGAACAACCGTTGTAAGTTAATAAATGAATGAATGAATAAATAAATAAATAAATAAATAAATAAATAATATACGTTCCTTGCGACTCTTTGTACTATTTTGGAAAATCATGCCACATGTGTGTAAGTTGCTCGCGAAATTTTATGATAAAACGATAAAACTTCTAGTAAGGTTGAAATGGCTACAATCGGCCACCATAGCAATATGTATAGATCTAAGTCAATGACCTTGAGCAGAAGGTTTGAAAATCAAGCAGAAAGAGTTGACGTTATATTTTGATTTAGCATATTCGAGAATAAATGCATTATACATTTATATTATAAAGCGTTTTATAAAGACGCTATATAATTTTATTTGATACAAAGCCAATTTAAGAAGCGGCTAAATGGGTTAAAATTATTAATGTCTATGCATATCTTAGCTCTTCGCACCATCAGAGAGATGGAATTGACCCCTTTTGTTCATTCAAGGTTGCAACTCCAGAGGTCAGTCAAAATTATATTTCTTGTTCTGGGGGTATATGACCTAAACTTTGCTGTTGCGCTGTAAACACGAATAAAGTCATGTCTTTCCTACCAAGGCATGACGAATATTTTGGAAAGCAGTTCGATAATTAAGCTTATTAGGTATTTGTAAATCTAAACATGGCGTTGATCGCATCATTTATTCGTTTTACAAAAGCAGTGGTCAAAAGAGCTTTGAAACCTTTGAAATTGAAAACACTCGAGTAATACAAAAAATGAGTGCACACTCTATAAGATACACAGTTTTTCTTTTGTTTACCATAAATACACAAAATCAAAAGAAGGGGTCATTGAAGAAGAAAATAAACGCATTTTTGCCAGAATACTTACGCATTTATCATCCAGCATCACAAATAATATAAAGACGCAAGATCAACAATATGATAACTCGAAATAGGGAACGTAGCCTTTTGATGAGTATTTGCTTTGCTGTATTTTTTAATGGCGTGCCCGGCTCCTAGTTTTTAAAGATCTTTACCTCAAAACACTTGTCGCTCAACATCTTGTTTGAATGTAGTGTCAGAAATTTATCCATCTAAATACGAATTCTGGATGGTTTGACAAAGGCGCCCGTTCTTGCTTCAAATAAGGCACGGAAGGATACCTTAGATTTTGCTCAATAAACTTAGCTGGCAAGACACCATATGGCAATTGTGAGGCTGTAAAAATGTTACTTCGCTATTAATTGCACTAACAATACCGATATTAAAATATATTCCATTCTCTGTTTTCCGGGCTTCGGATGGTTTAGATAGAGAAGGAATTCTATATTATATAATGTATGAATCAAGTGGAATCCAGAATTTATCCGCAAGATATGTCTGATTTACTCTTGAATACTTTGAGCAAAAATGGAGTGGGCTGAAACAGCGCCAGCGTAGGACCAACGCTTTCAAACCCATAAGAAAGGCAGGATGAAATAACCGAACTTATATTGATATGTCTTTAGAAACTTTATGTTATAAATTATGTGATTAGACTTTTACATATACACACATTTCTGAAATCAGATAAACTGAAAGAAAGTGAAAAAAAACAACTGTCAAAAGATACAACTAAAATCTTTAAAAAAATGTTTGTTTTGCTGTATATTTAAAAGTAATTTAAAAAGGATGATTAATCCAATCATTCATATATTTTTCAGATTATTTGAATATATATCTATTTGAAAAAGGCGGACTGGTCCTCCCTATCATTTTAATTTTATTTTGCTTTGAATTTGAAAGTTAATAAAAAAGGAGAATCAATCCGTCCTTACATGTATTTTTTTCAAGACGACTTAAAAGGCAGACTAGTCCTCCCTTATCCTAATTATTTTATATTGTTTCAACTTCCGTCTATTCAGATAAGTTTAATAAGAAAACTTGAATATATTAAGTCTTTGCTTTGATTCCCATTATAAAAAGGCGGACTAGTCCTGCCTATTGTTTATACTTTTGTTCTGTTTCAAATTGAAAGTAAATAAAAATGATTTATCCGGTTTTTCATGTACTTTTTCATGCTACTTAAATATATACGGTCTTTTTTTTTAAAAGACGGACTAATCCTCCCATTTCTTAAATTTTTTACATGTATATTGTTTCAGTTAGACTGATTATTGAAAGTGCTGGATTAACCCGTCTTTTCAGATAAGTCTGTAAGAAATTTTGCTAAATTAAGTCCTTGGTGCGATTTGCCATGCTAAAAGGCAGACTAGTCCTCCTAATCGTCTAATCTTTTTTCTACTTGAGATATGAAAGTTGATAAAAAGGATTAATCCGCATTTGGATACTCTTTTTTCAGACAACTGAAATGTAAACAATCTTCCTTAAAACGCTGACTATTTCTCCCTTTTCCTGATTGTTTTATATTGTTTCAGTTGTGACTGATTAATGAAGGAGGAGGATTAATCCGCCTTTACAGATAAGTTTTAAGGGAAATCGCAAATATTCTTATTCTTTTGTTCCCATTATTAATGATGGACTATTTCACCCTTTTTTACTTTTGTTCTATTTCAGATTTGACAGTTAATAAAAAGGAATAATTTGTCTGTTCATTTACTTTTCCAGACTAATTAAATAAAAGCGGACTAGTCCTCCCTTTCTTGGGTTATTCTATTTTGTTTCAACTTTTGTTTGATTTAAATTGCAAAAGGCGGATTAGTCTTCCCTATCGTCTTACTGTTATTTTTAGATTTAAAAGTTAATAAAACGGAGGATTTATCCCTCTTTTATGGTATTTTTGAGACAACTTAAATATATACATGTATGTCTTTTTGAAAAAGACAGACTAGTCCTCCCTTTTCCTGGATCATTTTATATTGTTTCAGTTTTGATTGATTATTGATAAAAGTGGATTAATCTGTCTTTTCAGGTAAGTTTATTTAAAGTCTTAACTATTTAACACATAACCTGGATCCAGTGATAACGCATAAAGTACTGAAAATATTTTTATGAAACTTGAAATATGAGTAGATGGCAGTCTAGAGATTATGCACATTCTTTTCTTTTCTTCCTATATTGAAAATTCTGGTTGCTATGGCAACAAATAGACTGAATTTCAAGATTTCTGATTCTAGTTTTAACGTTTTTTCACTATAAGTTCTTTATTTCTTAAGATATTTTCTTCAAACTTTAAATATAAGTTTCTGGTCATCAACCACATCATATGTGACAAGGTTTTCAACTCTAGCATAGAATTTATCAGAATTAATCCCTTGAACTTAGAATTTTCATGAAAATAAATTGTTTTTTTTTTAACTTCTTTATTTCTGAATGTATCTACTTCAAACTTCATATCTATGTTTCTTATTATCACTCAACATTTGTGAAAAAGTTTAATACTCTACCAAGACTATTTCCAGAATTATGCCCCTTTTAAACTTACACTTTTTTCGAGAAACTTGGTAATTTTAACTCCAACTTTTTCAATCATTATAGGATTTTCTTCAAACTCGCACATCATAATGATATGACAAGGTTTATAAATCTAGCATCCATATTTCCAAAATTATCTCATCTTTAAACTTTAAATTTTCTCATTCATTCTTTTCACTTTATTTAACTTCAAATTAAAAAAAAAACATTCATTGTCAACACATTCACTACTAATTGTTCTTTGTTACACTCACATCATGTATGAAGTCTTGCATCTTTATTTCAAGAATTATCTCCTTTTTAAGAATTTTGCTTTTAAAATTGTTATATTTTGATAACAGAAATGCTTAAAGAAATAACTTTAGAGTGTCCTTCAGTCCGTCTGTCTGTACATAAAAAACTGTTTCCTGTGATCACTTTTAAAGAACTTTTTCAACAAGTTAGAAACATAAGTGAATGGCCCTTCAGAATAATGCTGGGGTTCTAACGTCCCCATTTAGATCTGTATTTAACGTTCATTTAGATCTGCAACGCATGTCAACGCAATGGTAAGGAGTCCGCAGACGTTTATGCATCAATAAAAAACGCATGAACGCTATTGTTGCGAACAAATATAAGTCATTTTTGGTAATTGCTATCATTTTATTTTGAAACAGTGCTGGTGCGATATCATTTGAAGTTATGTTTTGACTCTGCAAATATCGGGATTGTAATTGCAGTAACCGTTTTTAAATATTTGTCAAAAATATTTTTTAAAAAGTGAATCACACATGTACTTATTCGTTTATGTGTGTTTTCTTCTTCGTTTATGTATTATAATACCTAAAAACGCTAGTTTAATACAAGAATAGGTGAGAAATAACTATCAACTGATATTTGTTTTACATAAAATATCTTTTTTGAATCAATATAATTTTCTGACAAGGATTAAGTATCGCTTATTGACTTTTCAAGATAATTCCAGAAAACATAATATCTGTGAAGATACATGTTAAAAACAGAAATAAGAATACGAAATTATGCCAAAACAGTCAGTCATAACTATGCAAAAATCTGGCAGATGAACTGGAATGACGAATTGCATGGATAGTCAAAATAACGCCAGAGAAAATTCGTTTTATCATAGTTGTTGTACAGCATACAGAGTTCAGTTGGTCCATTATCAGGATCATTGTCACCCCAATAAGTAAAGTTTGGATTTGTTGCTTTGTACCCATATGACCAAAGCCCTGCTTGAACAGATCTTCTACCATCTATCCAAACCTCATTCCTTTTGAGCGATTGAGCAAGTAGGGTATCATTAACGTCCTTGGCTTTTAATTCTGAATCAACATGCACCAGATGACCACTATCAGATCGACAAACGGCTTCAGCGTTATCCCAGGATTTCGGGCCTGCGTAGTATTTAAAGCAAAAGCCATTTGTTGTAAAATTATATTCCTTCGAACATCTAAATTTACTTTCACAGACCTTATAATCCAAAACTGTTCTAGATATTCCATATCGCTCGCAAATGGTAGTGTTTTCCCCGCATGTCCGTGATCTGGTTTGAACACCGACACGTCTTTGTTTTTCTGCGCTGACATCACAATCGGACCACTCTGTCCATTCTTTACAACGATGCAGACGGCACATTTCTTCTGCTACTTCCCGAACATCAGATTCTACGTTCTTCATAGCCTTACCGATAATGCTTAACAATGTCATGTTGTAATTTATGCCAACGTTATATAAGGTCTGTCCACTTATATTGTTTTTTCGTGAATGGTTTACACTAGATGCGCGGAATGCAAGCATTGCAAGCAAAGACGTATATACGATCGGGACATGCATACTCTTTTTTTCGTAGCACTATCTCTTTTCATATGAATGCGTCTGTCAGTTTTCCTGAAAGATAAATGTATTTGATAAAATTGTGATTGTCTCTTTTAATGCTCATGCGAAATACTGATTGGCATGTCATTTGGCTGTCAACAGCCGAGCCTTTGAGAATTTTTAATAAGACGCATAATTTACTGCGGAATGGCACAATTAACTTTGCGAGTCGGAAGTACATAAAAACATTCACATTCATCAGGTTTTCACTTCAGGACCAATTAAAAATGTCTTGCTTTGTTGCAAAACATTTTTATTTACATTTTTCTCAAATGAAAAGACAATGTTTTCTTAACTCCGTATACAAAAATGGACTTGCCTCTGATCCCCTTTCAAAATTCCATTTTATTTAGTTTCGCCCATTGTTTTCTCGTTTAGGGCACACGCTTTTTATTGCTTGGGGACCATACGCCGCTTTTCATGGAATGGCACTTAAGTGTCACATTGAAGGTTCCATGATAACCGCCATATGAACACATCTGCGGATGTTTCTAAATTCAAAATTTTACTCTTTCACGTTTAAATGTTGAATTCTGCGTAAGCCGGTGCTAGGGGGCGTGGACGGTAATTTGCACTTTCCAGTACCGTCCATGAACAGGCTCAATCAAACCGAGCCTGCAACATTTTCAATTTTGCCGTGTTGGGCTTTCTTTAGGAATTTTGTATATATATATTTTGCAACTGTCTGCAGTTTACAGATATTTAATATCGTGGAGCCAGGCTAAAATTAAATCATGCATACACATAATTCACCCATAAATAGCAAAAGTAAACCTAAAGGGGAGCTGTTTCACATGGAACAAACGCAGTGGTATTGCATTGGACTGTGATAAAACATCTATCTGTTTGCTAGAAACTAGGAAATAAGTTGTTTTGACGAAATAGAAATGTATATATTTTGAATTTTTGTAATGGTCTCGTTTCAGATGATTCGGTTTGCGATGTGTTAAAAAATGTTAATAGACGCCTTTTACTCGTATATAGTAAAACGATGTCACAAGTGTGTAATTATAAATACACGACGATCTTGAACGTAACGTGGCTTAATCAAAGCAAGTTTGCAACATTTTCATATATGCCGTTTTTGGGCGTTCTTTTGTGATTCAATATTCTCTATTTTAAAGCAAGTACTATAAATGTCAATACAAAATTCACATTTGAATTATATTTCCATACGTTTCAAAATTTGCTTGTCATTCAAACCGATATTTCAATAAAAAACATTTTAAAAAATTTAGGCGCTTTTTGTTTATTTAAGTACATAAAAACATAAAATTAAAGTGAAAAATGGTATTTACCTTTATTTTTTGAATGTCCCAGTATTCTTTTTATGCTACTGTTAAGTCTTTCTCAACTACCTACTGCGTACACGACTAATAAAGACTGTTGATACAATCAGTAATGTTTAAGATGAAACAGATAGAAGGTTATAAGGAAATATATTCACATATCTGATTTTTTTAAAAAATGAAAAAATAGAGTAGGTTACGTGACAATGATTGTGTAAAAACAACGATATTTTAACGAACTTGGTATTAAACATGATTTAGGAAGTTTATAAAAACTGCCAAGGCGAATTTTACTCCCGTTTCTGTATGTTACAAAATAAATTAAACCTCGATTGCAAAACCAGTTCTTGAATTTTTATTACCATCGATTACTATTCATAGACCTTTATATGAACAAACGTGGTCGTGAAGTTGAGCGGTGAATCATTCATAATATGAGCTTTCGGCACGTTCATAGAATGCCACCCTTCCTTGGTGATCTAAGTTTCCATATTTGTTTGCTCTCTGTTAGATATGTATAATTTTATTATTATATTTCATTTGCTGTTTGAACCTTACTATAGAGGGTATCTTTGTCTACAATTGTATTATTCTATTACACAGGCTTTTTCAACTCGTAACATACTAGAATGTTGTTACATACATACTGGAAAAGAGTATTATAGTGAACATATCGGACAAATGTTTTCATTTTTGTATATGATGCACGGCATTATTATCCTGCTATCATTTTAACTCGTTTTGATAACTTATTGTGCCCTTGACTTATACGTTATTATGCATCAAGTCTAAAACGTATTTCCACTGTTTGTCATAAAACTAATTGATTAATATGAATTAAGATATTGCGACATTTAACGGTAGTGTTGTAACATTTGACGGCAAATTATTTTGAGACATTTAGTGGTGGTTTGATTATTTAGCGGCGGTTGCGACATTTAGCAGCGGTTGCGACATTTAGCGGCGGTTGCGACATTTAGCGGCAAGTGCGACTTATAATGGCACAACAATATATTTTGTACCATACGTTTTCTTTTGATGACAGTAAAAAGTAAAGCAATAACCAACAAAAGGTAAAAAAGTGAGAACATTTACATATTCGTTTGTTTGAAAATCAAACAAAATCGCAGCCAATTTCAAATCAAAGCCCAAATTAATATTGATTGATTACTGCCTGATCGAGTATGTTTTATCGTGAACATAAAAATAATGAAGGCTTTTGGAATATCGTTCTCATTACATATAATGGTTCAACGAAGGGCTTTACTGTGATAAAAAATTAACTTTTTGAATACGTTGAATATACAGTCATAAAACTTGTCAATGAGTAAAACTGCTGATTCATGTAACAATAGATATTCTGCTCTCTTCACACATGAAATACAAGGAATGTTTTAAACAATTTTTTCTTTCTGTATTTAACAAAAGACTAATACAGTCCAGTGTTCAGACTAATCATTGTTATAATCTGTAAGCCGAGCGCCCATTCTATTGCTTTTGAAAACAAAAAAACTGATAAAAAAACATTGTTAAGCTTAGGTAAACAATTTTGTATATTGGTGTCAGAAATTTAAACTAAGTTTGAAAACAAAACAGGAAGAAAACGATTCATCAAGATAAATAAATTAAGTTGTAGATGTTTTGACCCACGTTGAACAACTTCGTATTTTTATGTGTTGCAAACATTTTGAATATTTTTGGAATTACAGAATTTATGATTAGCTTAGTGAATCAGCACTGAAGATATGAAGTCTGAAGATATGTATAAAATATTAATAACCAGTTTTACCTGTATAACTCGGTAATTACATTCAACTTTAATTAATTCAACTTTCAATCTTAATTAATAAACCATTTAAATTAACATTTGATCCCATGTTGAAATCCAATTAAAATGCTATTTAATTGAAGATTTAAAGAAAGAGTTTCCAGAATTGCGTGACCATATCTGACTTTGTTTCTCTACTTTATAAAAATCAAAGATTGAGAGAATGTACTATTACTATGCCATGAATATTTGTAATATATTTGAACTAGTTATCAGACAGCATTTAGCGTGTGGTGTGCAGGTTCAAATGACCCGACAGTATTATTTAAATCATACGCTTAGCCTATGTGACTCGCACACATGTTGGGTATGGCCGTTATTTCTTGTAATAGGTGATAAATGCTTTCAATCAAATAGAAACGTTATTTATATTTCTATCCATAGGCATATTTATTAATTGAACTTTGCTACTTTGTACAGCATAATTATGGTTGCCAAAATGTTTCAAACGAGTAAGGTTCTTGTTTCTTAGGGTTTTATTCCTGTTGTTGCAGTTTTTGTTTTTTTTCCCTTGTTTTTTTGTTGTTGCAGTTTTTTTATATTAAAATTTAATATTATTAATTATAATGTTCAATCTAACGTCATTATTATTCTTTTCTCTAGGTACGTTACATGTAATATTTTCATACATTAATTTCCTCTCCCAACTTGAAATTGAAATAAAATTTGAATGTTGGCATCCGGAATATTTCATACCGGTACATTTTTTACATAATTATTTATGATTTATGATATTTTGTATTCTCAAAACAAACACTGTGAACAGATGACCAATAGAACAGTGATAATACATTATTCTTCTTCTTCTTCTTCTTCTTCTTCTTCTTCTTCTTATTATTATTATTATTATTATTATTATTATTATTATTATTATCATTATTATCATCATTATTATTATTATTATAATTATTATTATTATTATTATTAATAATATTATTATATTACAAACTTCTAAAGCACTTTTATCATGCACATTGACAAGTTCAAAAAAGTACTCCAAATAAATGATACAATATTTAAAAAAAACAAATTAAAACAATAATATTGCTCAAGTAACACATTCCAATCAAACGCAATTTGATAAATAATTTGATTAAACAGGACAACTAGATAGCAGCATATATGAAATACATTACAGATAAATAATGTAAGCTTGAAAACTGATCATTATTCTCAAATATTGAAACTCGAAACAATTTTGAAACTCGAAACACTTTCATTCAAATGATAATATTGCAAGTCTTTTTGCATAAAGGTATAAAACATTGAGTGGTATTATTCAAAATCTAAGTAATTATCTCCACAATCTTAGGTGTATTTATTGTCGCAATCAATATCCACAAACATCTGGTTTTTTAGATGTGTGATGTTGCGACCTAGTGGTCCAGCGGTCTGGCGGTGTGAAGTTGGCGGCCGTGCGACCCAGCGGTTGGCGATGTGAAGTTGGCGACCGGGCGGCCCAAAGGCCTGAAGTTGGCGGTCCAACGGCCTGGCGGCTTGACTTTGGCGGCCGGGCGACCCAGCGGTTGGCGGTGTGAAGAGGCGACAGGCGGTTCGAAGGCCTGGTAGCGTGAAGTTGGTGGCCCAACGGACTGACGGCGTAAAGTTGGCAGTCCAACGGCCTGGCGGTGTGAAATTGGCTGCCTAACGGCCAAACAACCTGAACTTAAGATAAAAATAATACAAGATTGGCAAAGGAATTAAAACGATTATTAATTATTTTTTAAGACATATCTTACCATTTTAAAAAGTTATTAAAGCAACAAAAAAAAACATGTTTAGACAGGGTTGTTGTCCGTACCGACCCGGCATCCATAAAATGTACTAAATATGATAAAACGGGACTTTATGAAGTACATTAGACTTTTCTTGATATCTAAAAGTAATATAAAAAGAAAAAAATCAATTTCAAAGAACTTTTTATTTTATCATTGTGAACTTGGCGTCCCAGCGGTCCGGCGGACAAAAATTTTAAATTTGCATATACTTGAAACAATAAAACGGTATTCAATGAAGTTCTAAAGAGAATTCTTATTATTTAAAGTTTTTGTAAAAAGAAAAAATCACTTTATTTTATTTTTTAAATGTTTTTTATCATTTTTGTGTGAAGTTGGCGGCATGGCTGCCCAGCGGCGCAAAATTTCAATGTTGTAAAAGTTTGCACAAAGAATACTCAGAACAGTACCTAATTAATAGTCTGCTGTAGGACAAATATGAAGACAATTGGAAAATGCATATAACTTTATTTTGTAATTTTCAAATATGCTACCTGTTAAAATAATATAAAGATAAAATGGTGATACAGTTTTTTTTAATACCAATTCCTTTCACCGAATACATTGTACACGTGTTTCTAGTCCTCCAGTTAATCACATTATTAAATCAAATCAATTTTGGTCCATATAAGGTCCACAAAAGATTGCATTTCCATTTATATCTAATGATTTCTTTCAATTTTTAAGTGTTTTCGTAACAAATGTGTTTCGGATTTACCTTATGTGTGCTTTAAATGATATAATGTTCCTAAGGGTATATCGTTATCGATATACACTTAAGACTTCTTATTTTATTAATTGCATACACGTAACCCTCTTTTGAAAAATTGAAAGTTCTCTGATTATCGGAACATTATCGTTAACATTTTGTATTGCTAGTAGATAAGTGTTTGAAAATAAATTAGATGGTAGATATCCATGTGTTAATAATTTTTATTTTATAGTTTGCTTTATTTGGATCATACAATACCATTTCTACAAGGCAACAGCTATCATCTAACATCATTATACTCCCTCAAATACAAATAAAACTAATAACACTAAATGTTAACCTTATGAATCAACGATTCAATAACTTTCGATATCTCATAACAGTTCAGTCTTAATAAGATATCAACACTTGCTATTAAAATCACTATATTTGGAACAGAACAAAAATGTGTATCCCCAAGGACTTGTGTCTAGTGTTTTTCCCAAAAGCACTGGATAATAATAAAAACCATTATAATTGAAAGGTTATACATTTTCTTGTTACCTGATGGCAAAGTGAACAATTCTATTACACCCGGCGTGATTGTTTAATCATCTCAAGAAACAAGATGGATTAATAGCATCTTGCATTAATACTTGCTGTATTTTTTTTAATTACAACATTTATTTTATAGAAAGCAAATAACTATACGTTCATATCAATATTTGACTTTAATAATGGAAAACTCTTTTAACAAATGAACATATCTTTTATGTTTCATCTTAATAAATATGTTCTGTAAAAGTTGGATTGGCTCATTTAAT